CTAAAATCATATTTTAATTACTTTGACACTCTTTTAATTCAGACCTGAGTTTTTACTCATTTGAACATTTTTGTTTTTTTAAATGCTTGTTTCTTATGAACTAAAAGAATCAAAGACTTAAGAAAGTATTAAAATATTAAAATTAAGTAATAAAATCAACAAAAGAAAGAAACAGTTTAGAAAAAAAAGTATTAATAAATACATTTGTGACAAATGTCAAATTTGTGTTCGCCACACAAGGATTTGTTGCGCTTGGTGCAACAACTCTTTGTCATTTTTCGCTTTGCGGAGTGACAAATTGCACAAATTTTTCTTTTTTTAGCGATAGGAAGACTAACTGCATCTTCTCTTTGATCAGTCTCATGTGTAGAAGTAGAACTACTGGTTTCTGGCATATTCAAAATCGCTGTTATTGAGTCCCGCAGCCCCGTTTGAAGTGTCGGAATTTGTAATCTTTTTTTGCATGTGTGGCTCGACTAATTTTTGATGCCCTTAAATTGATCGTAAAACTCGACAGCCGTGGGCTTTTTTGGTTAAGTCATCAATTGTCCCTTCCTTATCACAAGTCGACAATAGGAATATTGTCTTTTGGGGATTTGGCTTGTATGTACTGTTGATGTACTTGCCTTCAGTTAAAGGTGGCTGTTCTGTCACAGAAAAAAATTCTTCCTCACAATCCGTTTCATAAGGCGGATCAGCCTCAAAGTTGTCTACTATCTCACTCTTAGAGCAGTTTTCTTCGTCACTATTATCATCTAACAACAGCTGACTAATAGTATCTAAAATAAAAATATAATCAAATAAAAATAATGTAAGTTCTAATTTCAATGTAGGCAAAATAAGTACAAAGTTTACAAAACACCGAAATAATTATAACACCAAAAAAAAAAGAAAAATAAATTTGCAAGAATAACGTTAATACTAACCTTCGTCGATTCGACGACTCATGGTGGCTGGAACGGCACACCCAGGGCCCCTACACAAAAAACACATTCGTGTGCCGCGGGAGCCTTGAGTCAACTAAGATCAGCCGGGATCTGAAAAGCCTACGACGACGCACTCAAAATTTATACCACTTTTTTTGAGTCCGCGTCGTCGTTTTGACGAAGGTTAGTGATCTAGGGTTAATGACGGTTGGGTCAAAATAAAATTTTTATAAGCGACGCATTCAAAATTCCAGGAAAAACTTTTAAGCGCGTTTACTTAGTACAACTTAATAAATACATAAAAAGAAATCTTGGCTAGCTATCTTAATATAACCAGAGATGAGAGTCTCAGGCCAGTATTCATATTAAATCAAGATCATATTATAATTATGTGATACAAATTATGATATAGTATAGTTTAAGATTAAAATCGAAGCTTGCTCGGAATTCATTGGCATTCTATCATCCATAATACTCTTGTTCTAATAAAACATTTAATAAAAATGATTTTTATGTTTGGGCCGTACCGTTCAAATTCCAGTTTATATACAATAACAAATATTTATTATGAATATAATACACATTTCATTCGAAAGCAATTATCGTTAATAGGTTAATAGATTTTAACTTTTAAAGATTTCTTTTACGAAATTTTTCATCATCTTATTCAAGTTCAGTATTTTTATAAAAGTTATCCAAATTCCGAAAATGGACATCAGTAGGAGCTATGTCTGGCGAATACGGTGGATGACACATCGCCCGTTGCGCAGTGAATGTAAATTGCTGAATCTAAATTGGTTTGAAACGAATTTCATTTTTCTATACCTTTTTCGTTTCTCTTTTACTAAATAACATAATTAAAATAACGATTATCGAAAGCTATTTCTTAAAATATCGTTCAAAAATTTCTTATTTACCATTCAAATTATCATTGGCAACTTAAATTTCCAGTCCTTTAATTAGTTCCTATTTTTTTAATAATTTTAAAATCTAGTTATCACATTTTCCATTACTGAAATCAAATTAAGGTAATTGTATTTATATAATCTGGACTAATTAACCTAACGAAAAATTATAAAAGTTTTTATAAAGGCATTATGTCTCGTTACAAAACGCGATTAATTGACAACCTCGGGTTTAATTTCGTTTAAAAATAGTCTTTTTTACGAAGTCACACTTCAGCGCCACAGTCAAATTTCAATAAAGTTAAATTAGCATATTATTTGCGGAATTATTTGTCTTTAAACGTCTTTTTTAATAAGACGGATTATACTCATCATACACCAGATTATTTATTTATTCTTTACTGCATTCCTTATTATAAATACAAAGGGCGGACTTAATGCATTAAGGCAGTCTACCAGTCTACCACTCAACCCATGGGATGGTGAGAATTTGACGTAGGGGTAGCAATAAAGAATAAAAACAAAATAAAAATTATAATTATCTACGTAATATATACTCTTAACTAATATTCAAATAAATAAACTATAAAAATATCTCCTATTTATACATATAAATATTTACATTTATTTATATATACAAAGTAATATATACATATAAATAACTATGAATATATACGTCTGTTAACTATATAAATGACATGGATAATTTTTAAAAGCAAACTTATTGAGAGCTTTACTGATGTCATCGGGCAAGGATTTCCAAGGGCGTTATAGCATGAACTGCAAATGAGTTACCATTGAACTCGGTGAAGTGAACAGGAATACATAATATTTTGTTGTTAGAAGAAGAACGCAGAATTATATTGTAGGAGAGATGGTGAAATTTACTCTTAAGATAAGAAGGCGAAAATGAGTTATTAAAATTAAAAAGATCAAGAAATATTCTGGAATTACGCCTCTACCGGATTGTAAGCCACTTAAGCTTCGACTTATATTGCGAAATATGGTCATACTTAGGAAGTCCGAAAATAAATCTTAAACAGTTAATGAGAAGGTGTTCCAGCTTGTTCAGAAGATCTTGAGATAAATTCGGGTAACACAGATCTGCATAATCAATAATATGAGCGAGTGGACAAGCGTGATCTTAGATTTTGTGAGAAGAAAATGTTTTAAACGATACAGAGAACGTAACGTGGGAATGACTTTACGACTCACATCTGAAACCTGAATTCTCCCGTTCGGCTTGCTGTCTATGTGTGTGTCAATGTGTTAAGATTTTTTACAGAATTACTATATAATAATAATATAATATTCCTTATTTGCAAGATTATGGTTGTACAATGGTGTTCGAGTATAATTCGTTCTACATATTCTACCTCAGTGGTGTGCAAATATTAAATGGTCAAATAACTTATACAACAATACTTATCGAATTTTTAACAACACAAAAAATTTTAACATTACTCAGTCGATTTTATAATTAATTAATTAACAGTGTCAGACAAAAAATGTCAATAAGATGTATAAGTATTATTATAGCTCAATGTCAAATAATCATATTCTTATGTCAATTATTATATAAAGTCAGATATTATAAATGCTACATACACAATTGTCATTAATTTATTTCAATATTTATGTCTAATTTACTAATTAAATAAATAAAATTTTCAATTTTATAAAAATACCATAACTCAAACATTATTTTAAACATTGTGTCAAACTCTACTACTCAACGAAATTGTAATACCACTGTATTAAATAGGAGGTCATGATTAATCTGCAAGATTAATCATGGCTAACATCCTTGAGCTACCCACCACTATAGATTGGCATTTCAAAGGATTGACCAACACTCCACAACTAGTAGACCAATCTTTGATAGCTAATAAGTTGTCGTTTAATTTTCAGTCCCATTATGGATAGTCCGAATTTCAGCTTACAATGTGTATAGCTGAAAGTCATTAGCATACAGACGGTATGAGCAATTGATGATAAAGGTAATAAATTTTATAAAAATTAAAATGCCTTGCGGCATACCCGCTTCCACATCAGCGAAATGGGGTCATTTGACCCACGCAGACTAAGTACTGTCGACGGAGAAGATAAGATTCAAACCATTCCAATTCCGAAGGGCCAAAATTAAGATGAGAAAGTATGAAAATGAGGTTTTCATTATCAATTGTATCATTACTGCTACTTTTTTCTTCCATCTCTTATCTTATGTCTTTTGTACCGTTAATCAAAACAGTAGTAGTAGAGTCAGGGCGATACCCAGACTGATATACACTAAGTAGGTTATATTTCAAAATAGAAGTTTGGTTGTAAACACAGGATTCTAAAATTTTGGAAAGAAAGGGTAGAATAGATATTGAACGAAAATGATTGAGAAAAAATGGGAGTAGGAACTTTTTTGAGGGGCCTTATAAAAGCCTTTTTCCAAATATTAAGGTATTGACCTAAATCAAATGAAAAATTTATAATAATGGAAATTGGCAAAATAAGGTGTTATAGTGTAAATACTACTACGTGTCTACAAATCACATCTTGACTCACCACTTTGGACTAAATTCCAAAAATAGACTTTTTTTACATCATCCTGAGAAATAGGAGAGAAATCACAGGTAGGTATGTTAAGAACTTGCATAGAAGTAATGGAAGCTACAATTTGGAAGCGAATTGTAGGGTCCTTTGCTGTTACAGAAACGAAATGATTATTGATTTCATCAAGTGATAGAGAAAAAACCACAATCCAATGTAGCTGGCCTAGAAAGACCAAAAGATCTAAGAAATTTCTACACTTTGTCGGGAGAAGACTTATTGATACAATTATGGAAATGTAGGTGTTGAGCTGCCCATAACATTTCATTGCACCATTAGTGTCTGCTTAAAAAGACAGCCAATGTTCTATAATACGTTCTCTCTTGAAACGAAGAAAAGCTTAATTTTGTCTAAATATTGGCAACCTTACGCTGTCTGTCATCCATAAGGCTGGGTGACGCTTCAATCTAACCTTTTGTACCACAGCATGAGCATCATAAAGGCTGACAATATTATGTATAGGAACCTGTTTTGTATAAGAATAAGAACCAATATTATGTATAAGAAACTTTATTGTCAATAGTAGGTGCTATAATAAATGAGGCTAGATCGTCCGATATCGCGCTTATTATACGAGCACTATGAAATTGCAAGTCAGATCAGACATAACATCAGAGACACTGGGATAATCACGATGCATTCCTATCCGCAGCTATATTAATGCATAATATGCAATAATATGCAATAAACATGTACTTAATGTATAATATATGCTAAGGTGTGCTTTTTAATATTTATTAATAATTTTTAACACAATCACACAACAGCGCGCAACTCTTCTATGTATAATATTTACTTTAAAGGTATAGTTTCGTCAAATAAATCTTATCACTAAGCTTATACGGAACCTCAAGTGTAGGGGCTTCCAATTTATAATGATAACTTTCGGTGTTAGGTTGACGTTTCATACAAAATGTACTTTAGCGCAGCCGTTACGCTATCTGACTGCAGTAAATTTGAAGGATGTTAGTTTAAAGGAAGCTTACCATACACTATGATGCTATATACTAGTTTAAGATAGAATATGTAAAATGTAAAATGAAAATGCTACGTGAATCTCATTGTGAAATGTCAACATAGCCCATCAGTGCCTGGTCGTTCAGTCCTTCAGAATACAGTTTTGTTTTTTTTTATAGAAGGGGTAAACGACCATGCCGCCCTCATTTTGAATTGTTCATACAACTGCAACACCAGGGAAATTGCAGGTGAGTTGCCGGCCTTTTAGAAAGGAGTAAGCTCTTTTCTTGAAGGTCCTTGGTTGTATCGATTCGGTCGATGGGTCCGGAAAATCGCCGGTGGGAAATTATTCCACAAAGAGGTCGTACGCGGAAGAAAAACTCCCAGTGAAACATACATTGGTGGACCACCAAGCATCCAGATGATGTGTATGGCATCGGGAGGTTTGCCGCGTAATGCGTTCATAAATTTTGGTGGCTGGGATTAATCCAAACACTGGGAAATCAGAGCACTGCCCATGATAGATGCGAAAAAAATGCATTCAAACCTCTCGGTGCTGGAGTGGTGAAGTAGAAGAAGCTGGCACTGGGGAGCCCTGACCCAGAGATGGGAACAGTATTCCATGTAAGGTCTAACCTGTGCCTTGTAAAGTTTCAGGTGGTGTGCCGGTATGAAGAACTGTCCCGCTCTGCTGAGCACGTCAAGATTTTTAGAGGCCAATTTGGCGTTCTCTTCCAAGTGACCATGAAACCGCACGTCACTCGATATGTTGATGCCGAGGATTCCGATACTGGCTGAGACAACAAGGGTAGTGCCTTGAAACTGAGGAGATACGACAAAGGGGTTCTTTGCAGTGTTTAATGCGCAAACTTGTGTCTTCAGAGGGTTAAATTGGACTAGATTTATTCATCGCATAGTTTTGCCCCCAACCCGAGACTTTGTTCAGCAAAGACTCGACTTCATACACACGTTTATCCCAGGTACTCGGAGAAGTTTTTTGAGAAATATTAGCAAGGCCCGTGTACAGAGCATCACCAGTGCTGTTACCCGCATAGCAATGAATGTTACCCGTTTGCAACATATTATTATTGTGCAGAAGAAACAGCATTGGTGATAGCACGCAGTCTTGTAGAACGCCAGCATTAGTGGGCTTGTAATCGGAGCATGCACCGTCTACAACGACTCTGATGCTGCGATCTGTAAGAAAGCTGGTGATCTCATTGCACAATTTTTCGGGAAGCCCATAGGAAGGGAGCTTCGAAAGAAGCGATTGGTACCAAACCCGATCGAATGGCTTCGCAATGTTCAAACTAACGGCCAATGCCTCTACTGCCACCGCCCATCTATGAGTCAGGTAGACCAGACGACCATCAGCTGCTGATAAACCACGATGAAGCTGATGATCCTCAAGGTATCTTATGAGCACAAGGAGGAGAACAAGGAGGTGATGGCGTAGGCCTGTAGTTGGACGGGTCTGAGCGGTAACTTTTTTTAGGGATCGGGTGGACCAAAGCTGTCTTCTATGAGTTCGGCACTATGTATTGAGAGTGAAACACAAAACATAATTGAGGGGATTGCGTTGGGTCCACTCGATTTGAGGATGTCCACGGAGAGGAGTGCTTTGCGAACCGAGCGCTGTGTAAATGGCACATCCGGTATTGAGCACTCACACCGCGAAATAGTCGGGGGTGTGCTCCCCAGTCATCGAGAGTCAAGATCCCAGCAGATCGGCTTTCTCATTTGCGGCGTGGGCCAGTGAGTCGTCCTCGCGAAAGTCTGGAATGCACCGTGCATTCTAGTCTTCCATATCTCTTCTTCCAGAAGGAAGCCGAACTAGTTTCTCACCAATTCGACCTATGTGCTCTGAATTTGCCTTGGCAATGACACTTTTGAAGGAAATGAAGCCAGAATTATAATTCTTTTTTTAAATTTTCTGCATAACCGTCCAGTATTACTTGCGTGAATCGTGAATATACAAACAGGCAGACAGACAAAAATTTTAAAACCTATTAAATAGGTTTCTTCGTCATACAATTAATCCACAAGACTTGTTTTTCCAGAAAACATTAGAATTAGAGAGGCTTGACTTTTCTACAGATTTATTATATGTACATTTACCGTCAATTTTGATAAGCCAATTAGTCAATTATAATGTGAATGAATCATGAATAATTTTGATAATGTCATTATTATACGATATCAATAACGTTAAATTGGTTTGATGCTTTTAAATAGGTTTCGAAGCTTTTAAATGTAAGTTTTTTAGTATTTGTTGATATAAGAATTGGTTAGTTTAATGGTCGACTTACACGTACCACAACTACACCACATCGCAGCGACAAAATGTGATTACGTGTGAATAGTGTCGCTGCAGCTTTTTGAAGTTGCGTTGGGGTTGCGTTCCAACCCTAGTCGTGGCGTCGACGTAATATTGTATTTTCACGTGGCCGGCCGCTAGTTCCGTGTGGTTCCATAGTGGTTGTGTCGTGGTCGAAATCACTCACGCAGTCGATAATAATGGCAAAACGTGGTACATGTAAATTTTACTATTCACTTCCAATGCTAAATGCGCGCGCCCACGTGTTGTGATTGTGGTTGTGGTTGTGGTTGTGGTACGTGTGGGTAGACGTAGAGTAGAACGGTTTTGATTTTTTTATCAGCGGGACACATTACGATGGCAAGGCATATATTACTCGCCACAAGGCAAGATATTATTATATACAATATGAATAAACTAAAACTGTACAATTTTTTTAGAGATTTTACTCAAATAAAACATTTAATTGTTTTATACTCTTTGTTTATAATTTGGAAAGGGATAATAGACAATAATGAAATAGTCCTAAGCAGAAAACGAGCTTTACTACAATTACTACTTCTTAATAAATAAAATAATTTTATTATAAGTTTGGTAATTAGTCTGGTCAAAGTTTACTCATTTTTTCAATGAAAAATGGTTAATTCCCATAGTAGGCGAGGTTATGACCGCATTACATGAAAATTAGTATTTACTTTCATGTACTGCTAAATTTTCGTTTAAACTAAAATGTATAAATAGATTATGGCTTTTGGATTCATTTAATGAAATAAAATGGTATTATAGTAACAGTGAGTACTACCTCATATAATCCCGTGGACATAGTAGGAAGCGACAAGGAAGTTAGCCAGAAGATAAGCACCAGCAGTTTGTTGATAACACTTAATAAAATATGTGACAACCATGGCAAGTATCTTTCCTATGAGGCAATCAATGACGGAGGCCTATGTTCAGCAATGAACTTGTGATAGGCTACAAAAGGTGGATGGATTTAAAGGTATTTACTTATTTTTATAGTTTTTCTGCTTTTCTAGACGGGCTGTCACTTAAGGCTAAAGTGAATAAAAATTAAAAATCCTATCACAAAACCTAACGCCTTTTTAGAATTGCGTGATGAGTTCTCTCTTTGTAGGATCTCCTATGTATTTACAAAAAGTTTATACAATTTTTAGATGAATAAAATTGCAAATTGCAGCGTAATGGCGATCACCTCATTCCCAAAGGCTATTTTCAATCATATATTCCTTAATTATTATAATAACTATTTTTGTACAATTTTTCTTTAATAAAGTAGTAAAGTTGTTAAATCAAAAAATTTAACATTTTCTGGGATTTCGTTGCAAAAGTGCATACATTGCCCATAAATTAATTACTAACTCTGTGGAGTTTAGAAACTGGCATTACAAGCTCATGTTAGTTCCATGTGTTTTAAATATGAACATCTTTATTATCCTCGAAGTGTTTCATGTTTTTGTGTACATAAATTAATTTTTCATGAATATATTGCGATGCCAAAATTAATATGGTTATTTCTAAAAAGTTTTCTCTGTGGGACTCTTTACAATTTAAGTAATGAATCGCCCTCTTTTGCGTATATTAATATAAATAATATTTGGCATCTACTGTTTTTTTTTTTCAAATTTTAACTAGGTATTTCATTTTTATTAAAAGTTATTGTAGACGTAAAAATCTAGAGCTTTACATTTACACGAAATATCAGTCTGTATAGTCGGCGAAATACAATGGTTATTTACTTGGAAGTCATTCAGATTTCAAGTAAATCTATTTTCAAGTAATTTACTAAATTATAGGCTTTTTTAATTGAATAGGAATATTGATTCAACTCAACATAATCAAAATTAAGGGACCAGGTTCTGTCTATATTTTTGTTGGTCTGAGGCTATATACAGACTATATTATATCGTCGTAATAATCGTTCTTTTAAGACTACATGATGAGTATATAACAAAAATAACGTAGCGGTATCATCATAAATGAAACTGCGTAGCTGAATGTTTATAGAGCAGGTCTCGGTTTCTTTTTGCAATGTTTTTTTAAACTATCCTAAATGATTTTTATTACGATTTTTTTAAATATTTGATTTAAAAAGGCTAAATTTTTGTAATTAAAAATAAAGTTACTGTAATGAAAACATTATTTCTTATTAATGAAATGTATGGAGCAATATATAAAGGTACGAAATGGAATTAAATGTAATTTCTCCCTAATATTTTTGTAAATCATACTTTTTAATCATTCCACGAATATAACTAGTTATTCCGAATTAGCTGAAGCTAATGAGCAGATTTCTTATTTTAAACAAAACATTGATAATTTGCATGAATTTCAAACTCAGATTCTGTTCTATGAGCTCTTAG